GGAGGGTTCCGGTGTCAGTCACTCTCTCGGTGCATTTCCTCGGCTTTCAGCCTCCTCTGTGAGCTTCTGTCTCCTTCCTTGCTGGCCGGCCTCTCTCTCTCTCCCTCTCCCTCTCCCTCTCACTCCCTCCTTCCTCTCTCTAAACAATAAAAAATAAACAAAACATTTGTTTTAAAAAAGGAAGAAACATTGTCTTGAAAGGAAGATGCTATGAGACTGGGAAACTCTCCAAAGTCTTTGAATTGTCGCCCGTGAAATCGCTATAAAAACTCAGTCCTGCTCAGCCGGGGGGCTCAGTGGTTGAGCGTCGACCTAGGAACCAGGAGGTCAGAGTTCGATCCCCGTCAGGGCACAGGCCCGGGTTGTGGCTCCATCCCCAGCGTGCAGGAGGCAGCCCATCAGTGATTCTCTCTCAGCATTGATGTTTCTCTCCTCCCTTGCTCTCTGGAATCAATAAAAAATATATATATTTAAAAACAAATGAACAGTGCAGAAAGGGGCAGGGGGCACGGCTGACAGGAGTTAAAATGCTGTCAGCAGTGCAACAGGAAGAAAAGATGGTAATGTTGGGAAGTTATGTGAGACCATAACTACAGGAAGGGGCGTATTAGCCACCATTCTCTTTGGTGAGTGATTCTACCACTGAAGATGTTTAAGCAGAGATGTTGTTGAGATGCCTTAATTTCTGCAACACTTTACCTGCTTTTGCACCGTGTAATGCCTTAGCAGAGCCTATATCTTCCCTTCTCTCTGTGTTGGGAGTTTATTGTTTCTCTTTCTTTTCTAGTTTCTTACCTGGACCTTCAGACGATTGGTTTGGCATCTTTCCTTCTTTTGGTAGAAGCATTTGGTGCTATGAATTTTCCTCTAAGCACTGTGTTAGCTGCATCCCACACATTTTGATATGTTGTACGTTCATTTTCACTCGGTGCCTAATATTTCCTAATTTCCTTTGAGTGTTCCTCTTTTACCTACGGAGCATTTGGGGATCTGTGGTCTAATTTCCAAGTGATTGGATATTTACCTGTTATTTTTCTCTTACTGATTTCTAGCTCAATTTCATTCTGTTCAGTGAGTTCACGCCTTTGAACGGGTTAAGACTTGCCTCACGGACGAGGATACGGTCCTTGTGTATCTGCTGTTGTTGGGTGGGGTGTCCCGTAAATGACAATTGGATCCAGATGGTTGATCATGTCGGTTTCTTCTAAATCCCGTGCTAATGATCTGTATCCTCGCTCTGGCTGTTACTGAGAAAGGCGTGTCCAAGCCTCCATGTCTGTGGTTTTGAATTACAGGAGAAATAGACAAAGATTTTCCTTCCTTGCCATCTTTTTAAAAAGTATATGTGTCTTTATTGATTTCTGAGAGGAAGGGAGAGAGAGAGATTTAGAAACATCCATGATGAGAGAGAATCATGGACCGGCTGCCTCCTACACGCCCCCCACTGGGGAGCGAGCCCACAACCCGGGCCTGTGCCCTGACCTGGAATCGAACCCTGACCTCCCGGTTCCTAGGCCGACGCTCAGCCCCTGAGCCTCCCCGCGGGGCTGGCTGCACATGCCCATCGAAGGCGTGCTTCTTGCAGACGCTGGGTCCTTCTATTTCTGTCCGACACGGGAAACTCGGCGCTCGCTGCGTGAGTGTGGATCCTCTGGACTCGGCGCGGTGATGGATACGATTGGAACGGAGTCAGCCTCTTCCCGTTCTTCTGTTCGTCCCATCTGTGCTCTGTGCTCTTTAGCCCTTTTTTTTTTTCCTTTCTGCTTTTGGGTTATTTCAGGGTTTGTCACGGCTCCATCTTGTCTTATTATTAGCCGAGTCCTTAGCTCTCCGCACTGGCTTTTCCACGCTTGTCCTAAGGTCTAACCACATGACGTTGCCCCAGGGGTTGCCAAGGGGACATCTCTCTAACTGACCGCACTCTACCGTCCAATCAGACGAGCGCACGTCAGGGCAGGGCGAACCCCCAGCCGTCTCCTCCACTCCCCCTCCCAGCTATTGTGACATTTTCAGACAGTTTATTTTTATTTTTTAAGTGTTTTTATGGATATTTAGAAAAAGAGGAAGTGAGAGGGAGAGAGAGAGAGAGAAACATCCATGATGAGAGAGAATCATTGATCGGCTGCCTCCTGCACGCCCCCCACTGGGGATGGAGCCTGCAACCCAGGCCTGTGCCCTGACCGGGAATCGAACCCTGACCTCCTGGTTCAGAGGTTGACGCTCAGCCACAGAGCCACGCCGGCTGGGCATCATAGTTTATGTTTACAGACATATGCTATCTGCCCACGGTGCCTCCCACCCTTTTACGAGACACTGAGACACTGTGATTTTTATAGCAGCTACAGATAAGAGGGAAGGTCTTTCCTACCCGCCCGAGGCGTAGCCGTTCCTGGTCTCTTTGTTTCTTTCGGGGGGTGGGGGGGGGTGTTTATCCCTCTGTGTGCGCCCACATTTCTCTCGCGTGGAGAGCCGGGGCCGGGACATTCCTGCAGGGACTGCTCGTCTGACGAAGTGTCTCTTTCTTTTTTATTGAGACATAAATTCACACACCATAGAATCCACCTCTTCAGAGTGTGAGATTCAGTGGCTTTTTAATACATTTCTATTGGTTTCAGGGAGGAAGGGAGAGAGAAAGAAACATCAACGATGAGAGGGAATCACTGATCAGCTGCCTCCTGCACGCCCCCCACTGGGGACGGAGCCCACAACCCGGGCCTGTGCCCTGACCGGGAATCGAATCATGACCTCTTGGTTCCTAGGTCGATGCTCAACCCCTGAGCCACACGGGCCGGGTGTGAGCGCTTCTTTGTTTTGTTTTTTTGTTTTGTTTGTTTGTTTATTAAATAAATGAAGGTGGGCTGGCGGAGCAAGGAGAAGTGAGGGAGGTAGGGGTGGGAATGAGCCAAGCGCTGGACTGTGGACACAGCGGGCGGGCGGGCGGGTGGGGTGGGGGGAGGTGGGGGGACGGGCTTAGCCTCCTCTGCTTCGATCCGGTTTTTATTCCCCCGTGGATGGGGGACCGCCCGGTGTCTGGGTGTCTGTGAACAATGCGGATGTGAAAAGAGGAACCCCCTGGCCTCATCGGGGCTGGTGCGGCCGCAGCCCACGTGGGGCGCGGTCTGTCTCATTCCTCTTTCGTCAAGATCTGAACTGAGAAAAAATATCAGCGTCCGGGCCCCTCCCTGAGCTCAGCGCTCATCTCCTCCCCGCGGAGGGAACCGATGGACGCGAAGATAAAGGCTGTAAATTAGATTTCCCCCGCGGTGCCTCACGCCCGGGAGACGGGTAAAGGTCATTGCTGTGCAGGCCCTGTAATTGGAGTCCCCGGTTCTCAAGGGCCCGAGATAACAGCTCCGGGAGGTGGTCTGGCACCTGGGCCGCCACGCGGGCGGTTCGGGGTCTGGGTCACCGGCCGGGGCTGCAGCCCCCACCTCCCCCCTCCCGAACACAGCAGCGTGGGGTGGGTTTGGACGTGGGCTCTCTCCTCCCTCCTGGAGACCGAAGTCCGTTCCGATCCCCTTTGGGGAGGGAGCCTCCTCGTGCACAGGACTCCGTTCCCACGTGAAGTCAGGCCCAGGGAGACCGTGTTGGCGAACATTTAGGAGCTGTTGTCGCCTACATTGACTGAGCGGGGTGCTGCTCTGCCCTGTTTCCAAGCCCAGCCTGAGCCTTATATACATCATCGATGGAGGGGGACCGAGGATGCCGGTGACAGGCAGTGGGAAACAGAGAGGTGCGGCAACTTGCCTAAGGACACACAGCGGGTCGGGGGATGGTACAGGGAGGGTGTGAGCTACATCACAGGGCAGGGGAGAGCCGTGACGAACCGTGTGTGTGTGTGTGTGTGTGTGTCTTGGACTAGAGTGGATACACTTTTCATCTTTAAAAAAATAAAGATCTGTATTGGTGTCAGAGAGGAAGGGAGAGGGAGAGATAGAAACACCCATGATGAGAGAGAATCATGGACCGGCTGTCTCCTGCACGCCCCACACTGGGGATGGAGCCCACAACCCCGGCCTGTGCCCTGACCAGGAATCGAACCCTGACCTCCTGGTTCATAGGTCGATGCTCAACCCCTGAGCCACACCGGCCGGGCTCCCCTTTCATCTTAAGTAAACGGAGGTGCAGGCGGGCGGAGGGTCTGGCTGTTGCATGTGGGGAGCCCTGTCCCGAGGGCTGTGGGGGGTCTGGGGTCGGCTGCAGCCACACAGCGTCCACTCACCCCGAAGGGTTAAGGAGAGAGCGGTGCAACAGCCGGTGGGCGGGCCTCTCTCCCTCTGCACCCCTTTCTTGGGGCAGACGCAGTTTGTGTCGTGCCCCGTGCACTTGTTAATATTCACAGTGATCTGGGGGTACAGTTCAAAAGGCAGCGCCCCCCTCCCCCCGCATCTGCTGCCTCCTGCCCAGCGTCCCGCGGAGCTGACGGAGCTAGGACCCAGGAAGGACGGGGCAGCCGGGATATAAATAGAGGACAGACCAGAACAAAGTTTGAGGAGCAGCCTGACATCACTGCCTCCTCCACCCCGGGAGCCGCGGACGAGGTCAGACCCGGAGGACCTGGTGGGCGAGTTGGGGACGAAGGTCCCGTGGTTCTCGGTCCCACCGTCGGGGAGGAGGGCCGTCGGCTCAAACCTGGACGGAGGCATGAAGGCTGTGGGCTGAGCCGGCCG